GGTGAGTCACTTCTAGTGAGTGAATGATCCCATCAGAAACTATTCTGACTACATGAAGATATTTCCTGGGCAGGCAAATTCATTGCTGTGAAGTGACTACAGCCTGGATCTACATTAAAGCTGTGAACTGAGCTCCAAGTACCTATTAGAGAATATGCTTTAGACATACCGACCCATTCTTTGGTAGAGGAGTGGGAATGTCATTTTTTCCCTGAATAGGGTCAAAGATGATATTCCAATTCCTTGGTCTACCACAGTGGTGACAATGTGACAATCTGCCATCTTCAGTTCTGTGCTGTTCACTATGATAGGTATAGTTATACATGTTGATTTAGACCAGCAGTTATCAACCTGTGGGTTGAAACCCCTTTGGGGGTCGAATATCAGATATCTTGCATATCAGATATTTATGATTCATAACAGTAGCAAAATTATAGATTATGAAGTAGCAATGAAATAATTTTATGGTTGGGGGTCACCACAACATGAGGAACTGTATTAAAGGGTTGCAGCATTAGGAAGGTCAAGAACCACTCTTTTAGGCTTAAACAACACTAAAATTTCCTTTCCCCAGTCATAACGATCACACTTCAAGTACTCAGTAGACACATTTGACTGCTGCCCATGGCAGCGAATGGAGCAGATGAGCACCTCCATCACTGCTGAAAGGGCTACAGGACACTGCTGATCTATTTAGTGAGCATAATATCATCCACCTTACAGGACTTGATGGTAATTAAATGACAAATTGCATGTAAGTACTTAGTATAATATCTCAACTATGTACACACTCAGTAAGTGGGATTTATTACTATCATCCACAGAACAAAAATTCTCCTAAAAGGCGGTCATCTAAGTACCAAGTTTAATTTAGAGAATGCATTACACACACACCCCATGTTTAATTCTTGGCATTATCTCTTACTGAGAGCAGAGGTTATAGGAAACATTAAGAATGATGAATCCTCGAATTCCCTCCCTACAAGGTCACAGGCTACTGCAGAGCCCAAGCTGAAGTGAGGAGAGGGGCTGGGCATTCCTTAAAGAGAAACAGAACGGCCGAGTAGTGGTGGCACATGCCTTTAATTCTAGTACTCAAGAGGCAGAGCCAGGCGGATCTCTGTGAGTTCGAGGCCAGTCTGGTCTACAGAGCGAGATCCAGGAGAGGCTCCAAAACTACACAGAGAAACCCTGTCTCGAAAAAACAAAAACAAAAATAAAAAAAAAAGAGAGAGAGAAACAGAGTAAGTCAGGCTGTGAGAAACATTCCCCTTCAACTACATTCTAGCAGAAAAACACGTTAGATTCCTTGTTAAAGGGAAGGAGAAGAGAGAAGAGGAAATGCAGGTGTGATGGTTAATCTTGACTGTTAACTTGATGGGATTTAGGACCACCTGGGAAACAAACCTGTGGGCAAATCTGTGAGGGATTTTCTAGATTATGTTAATTGAAGTGGGAAGACCCTCAATGTGGGTAGAGCCATTACGTGGGCTAGGGTTCTAGACTAAACATAAAAGGGAAAGGCTTCTGAACATCAGCATCACGTCTGCTTCCTAACTGTGGACACAATGCAATCAGCCACCTGCCGCCATGCCTTCCTGGCCATGATGGACAATACCCTTAACATGTCAGTCAGAAGCAGCTCTTTCTTCCTGAAGCTGCTTCTGTCAGGTATTTTGGCCCATCAACAAGAAAAGTAACTAATAGAGTAGGCAAAGGGAGAGAGAAAAAGAGTTATTGGGACATGAAACAACTTTTCTGTGATAGGCCCAGAAAACTGAGCCTGGGTCTCAGGCCTCTGACTTGCAGGTTATTGATGAATCTACTGAGCTGGGATGGATACTCCAGGAAGAATAATATCCATGGTGGTTTAGCCATTGCCTAGAATATGGAGTTTCTCTATTGTCTAGAATGTGCTAGAATATGGAGATGGGCTACGGAGCCTTAGAGCATGTGAACCAAGCAGACCCATGGAGAAGCAGCAAGCAAGTTGTAGGTGGGGGGAGGTTGGACCGTGAAAGGGACGGAATACAGAACATGAGGAGAAATGTACTTTGCACATCCCTTCCCAGCAGCCACTTAGCCCCTCACAGTGTTCTCTGACCTATATTTCTCCTTGGAAACATTTGCTGATTTTGTCTGGGGGTTGAAACTGGAATTCTTGAACTGTGAAAGCTCAAGAGCACTGAGGGATCGGAGAAACAATAGTTGGCGTTGAGGAAGTACTTACACTGTGCTGGATACTAAGCATTGCCTTCAGTTCCTTCTTAAAGTAATCACATGTAGTATGATACAGACCCAGTTTTCATCCCTACTGTTTTTCATCTATAAAATGGAGCAAAGAGATTGTCTACGGAACAGAGACTGACTTTATGGAAGGGTTGGTTCCTGGCTGACCACGTGAGACTGGAGAGGCTAATGGTGCATAAAATATCTGTGGCGACCAACAGCCAAGGATATAACATGTAACATAAGTTCAGAATGACATTTTATAGGGGACAATATATTGTGAGGCCAGGCATTTAGGTCTTGGGTTGTCTAGTTGTGTGACCAGACTGATCATTCTACGCTGCTCCTGGTTATATCTGCAGAACTGGACTCGTGATAGTTCTTCACGATATTTTAAAAATCAAAGAGCTTAAAACCATAACACTATGTGCATCTTGACCTTATTACGAGGCCTGGGCCAGGTTGGCTGGGCCTCTTCTTTCAAGACTATGCATAGTCAGGCTGCAGTTGTCAGAGATGCCAAAGTAGTGAAGAGGTATGTACCTGGGTTTTCTCTTTGCTAGCCTATGGGGGAAATTGGTCAACAAAAGGTTTCTCTTTTGTACATATGATCTTGAAACCCCAACAAGTCATTTGTAGATAGTTACCCACTCATTCATTTTTTTATTCTTCCAAATCCTAACAAACCCTTAATAGGCATGCAAGTTCGTGTGCGTAAAAGTATAGCACGTGGCCTTGGGAGTCTTGTTATAACTCTGGGCCCTTCTCTTCCTAACCATGTCATCTCAGTCAAGCATATCATCTGTCTGAACCTGTTTTCTTTCTTGTAACATTAAAAACATAAAGGCTGCAAATAAGATAAGTTACATGGAAAGCTTTAGAAAGTATTATATAAATACAAGTATTGCTAAATTTGGAAAGCGACACACTAAGAAATACGATATTTGAGAATGTATTATAAAATGAACACTAACCATTAGTAGAATATGGGTAAGTCCCTGGGTGTAAAGACTGATGGGAGAATAACCATGGCTTCTAGCTGCCTCAACTTTGGATTTCTGGTCTGATTCTGTTTGAGTTATTTCCACTTGCCTCATTTCTCCTTGATCCCAAGAATTTTTTTATTCATTTTACATACCAATCACAGATTCCCCTCTCCTTCCTCCTCCTGCCCCTTCTGCCTTCCCCCACAACCCACCTCTCATTCCCTCCTCCAACAAGGCAAGGTCTCCCATGGGGAGTCTGCAGAGCCTGGTACATTCAGTCGAGGCAGGTCCAAGCCCCCCCCCTGCATCAAGGCTATGCAAGGTGTCCCACCATAGGGAGCAGGAGCTCTCTACCCTTTCTAAACAGGAATGTTATTAAATTCTCAACAGTCTAAGGTCTTACATAGACTGCTCAGCACCTTGTGATAGAAACAAAAGTACTTCATGAATGAATCTCATCTTTTCAAAACAACAGAGGAGGAAAAAAAATGACCCTTCAGAATTTCTTTAGAGTTGCCTACCTCCTTAGGCGGCAAAGACAACAGCAGAGAGCCGTAACTAAGGACCTGCTGCCAAGGTCTCATTGGATCGACCACACAAGATTTATTAGTGCACCCAGCTTTCTTGAACTAGCATTGAAACCCCACCTGGTTTCCACTGGCCCTTTCCTTTCACAGAAATATAACTGTTCGGGCTCAGGCAAGAAGCTTTCTCTTCAGAGCTCAGTGTCTTGAGTTCTCTTTCTCAGGTGCAGAAGTAAATCACACAGCCTGGGACAAAACAGACACTGTGGCATGTCCCAAGTCCCTCAACCTCTTCCCAGCATCACCAGGAAACACTGTTCCATACAGGCTAGTCTGGTGTTACCCAAAGTGCCCAGTACAATGCTTGCCAGGTAAGCAGTGCCTGAGAACTGTTCTCAGAATCCACTCACAGACTTTGTATTCTGTTTCCTTGTTTCAGGCTGCCCTGGCAGATTTGGAGGTCCAAGGAGGAAGCACCAGACATCCCAACGCATTTCCTGTTTAGCTCCTTTGCATTCATAAGAGTCCCGATGAGATCATGAGAAACTTCAATCCACTGAAATGTTTCCCACAGAGCTTCATGCTCTGACATTGAGATAGTTCTCAAATAAAAAAAAAAAAAAAAGCAGGACTCACCCTATTGCAAGGTAGAGTTAGTGACCATCTGCTGAGGTGGGGGGAGTCAGGGTGATTCAAATGCTGCCCTGCACTACCACTCTGATGTCACGGGGGATGTCTGAAGTCCTTTTACAAGACGGAGGATGTGATTATAAAAGAGAAGCAAAGCAATTATTTGAATTCATCCTCTAGTCTAAATGACTGACATGATATATTCCTTTTGAGGAAATCCTAGTAGGTAAGAAGAAAGGAGCATAAAGACACTGACACCTGAAGAGAATAAAGGGTGACAACCTGATAGATGGGCTCAATTAAAGAGGTGGAGAGACCCCAGGGACCAACTAGCACAACCTCCCAATCCACGACATGCCATTTTTCTAGTCACAGGACTGAGATGTTTTAATCTGCGGATGAGGTCATTGTTAGAACCGAGTTAGAAGCAGTGGTCCAGGCTCTGACTTTGAGCACAGAGCCTTCCCATCCCTTGTACTGGACAGAAGACTGCCGCAGAGAAACCAGATGAATCTTATTTCCTTCCCAGTTTGGTTTGCGGCTGGACTGCCCTCCTTTCCCTAGGAGATACCATGGCCCACAGCTCCCGGATTCAAGGAGCTTGCTGTGTTCCCAGATGGGGTTCACTCACCGGTGGTCGCTTCCATTCCAGTTTTGAAAGGTGTTTGCCCTTGAGCAGCTTCTGGCCTATGGAAGATGCCTCAGCCGGGAATGTATCATCTGTAAACAGCTGACCCCGGCCCAGGCACCGATCCCGTAAAGTCCTGAAGTCCTGATTCTTGAACTTGACCACCGAGGTCTCTGTTAGAGGCTCTGGGTTATGCGCCATGACTATTTCTAGGAAGATGTCTGGAATCTTTTCTTTCTGGTGAGGAAAAAAAAATGATTAGCACCAGAACATTTTGATGCCTCCACTTTTGTAAGACCTGAGGCTCAGATGTCTGCTGTCCCTGGCATAGAGCCCCGGGGCGGGCAAGCCCCAACTAAAATTCATCATCCCTACTTCTGGTTACATTCAACCTGGTATACTGAATTAGCATCTCAGTGTGTTCTTGTGTGCACCCAGAGACTATGAGGGGATTTGTTCCTTTAACGAACATTTAGTGAGCACTGACCTTGTGCCAGGCTCTCTTGTGAATGTTGGCAATCCAAAGATAAATACACCGTGATCTTTATCCCCTATGGGCTCAGTATCAAGTGAGAAAGATGGATTAGACATTCCAACAACCTGCTACCATTCCACAGACACTACTCAATTAAAAATGTGTTCAAAGTCTGTGGCCATAAAGAGAAAGCACCATAATCTCGGACAGCCCGGGAGGACAGATCCATAGGTGGTAACATTTGAATCAGCCCTTGAAGGAAGAAGAATTTACCCGATGGAGAAATGGTGGGTAATGCTTTCAGTGTCTGTAGCGGCCCTGAGTAGCAAGTGCACCACAGAGGCCCTGGAAGCTGGCTTGTGAAGTCATAGGGTATGGAGAATAGGAAGTGAGTTGGAGGGTTTAGTGGGGTTGGGATTGGAATAGTTAAGTACTTGGAAAAAGTGGCTAGAAAGGCAGATTGGAAAGTCAAATTAAGGTTTTTTATTTTCATTTGTTTTTGTTTTGTTTGTTTGGGGTTTTGACAACCACCTGTAAGCATGTGTGTGTGTGTGTGTGTGTGTGTGTGTGTGTGTGTGTGTGTGTACGTGTGTGTACACGTGATGTGTCCTGATCATATCTGTAGATAGGATGGTACTTCTGGAATAAGTAGGTGGCCTGATGAGGGTGAGAATACAAGCAGATTGGAGGAGCCCCAACATCTGCCCTCAGGAGAGACAGTGGTGGAGGCCAAAGACGGTAGAAGGTAGACAAGGCTCAGGTCTCTTTTATAGGTAGAACCTATAAATTAATGAATGAATTAAAACAAAGAGGAGAGAGGAGGCAGTGTGGTGAATGGTCACATGGGTTTTAAAGTTTACATTGTACTTTTACCACCTACCCCTTGGGTCTACAATACTGAAATAGTGCCCATGTCTCTGAACAGATCTCTCTACCTCTATGGGTCTATTGTACCAAACTTAGAGGGTTTGTGATGATATTAAATAAGATTTGACCTAACCAAGAAGCTGGTATACAGTAGGTGTTCATTAAATGTCAGTGTCAAACTTCCTTAATACGTTGTCAATAACAGTTTAGGATTCTTGTCCACGACGCCATACAGGTGTAACAAATGGAATCCAGCAACATGTACATCCCATTCACCATCTGTGAATCCAGCTAGTCTGGATCACAGTCCAAAATTCACCTTATTAGTGGGGCGTGAAACCCCCCTGCAGGTCTTAAAAGTCCTGCTATGGAAGCTTCTTTGGCAAAGATCTACTTAGGTGGCACCTAAAGTCCCAATGTCCATTATTTCCCACCCACTACTGCTTCACAGTGAAGAAATCAAGCAAGAAAGAATAAGAGAACACGGGGAACTAACTTATAAGGGAATAATATGAGCTGACAGCCAAGACTTGTGAATCCTAGGAAAACATATGCAAACTTAAAATAACTTGGCAATTATCTTGCAGTTACTTGGTAGTGGTATGTGGCAAATTACTGAGATAGTGCAAACTCACAGGCAGCCTATTACCAGTTAAGTGTCATTGTATGAGCACATTCAGAGGGAAACTGTACTTATAATTTCTCCCAAATAAGAGATGAATAATTTACATTGGCATTATTTGACTGAGCCCTATAAAACTGGCATTGTTATGGATCAAAAATAGTTAAATGGAATCAGATCCATATAGTTTAACTTAAGGCAAAATAATGGTGAAACACAGACCATTTGATTTGTCTTCAGTTAGCATTATACATGTATTTCTTCAATTTTATTCTTGGGGACAAAAACAACACCAAACTATTCTGTACGCCTCACCACCTGCAATGGGGTTTATACAGAGAGTCCCCAACAAATTAAACAGTAGTGGCAGAGCCGGAGTAACTGCAAGCTATCATTCAAGAGCAGGAAAACAGTGGTAGAAATTGCTTGTCAATTCAAGACAATGGCAATGACAGCTGGTAATGAAGAGTTAGGAAATTGTGGGTTTGCCAACTCTGTGCGTGCTCGGGGAACCGGGGAACCAACACAGCATTACCCAGCTCCTGCCTCTCCATCAAATACTGAATTGGAGTATGTGAAAAAACTCTAGCAATGACCTAATTTTAGCTTATGAAAACCACACTATAGTTACCCTTAATAACACAATTATGGGATTGCTAGTAAGGAGCCCATAATTGCATGTAAAAATTAAAGTTTAAAAGATCTTGTTTCATTTATTTGTCAAAATCATTCAAAGGTCCTATATGTGGGGAATGAGTCCCTGGCCCATTCTAGAGAGGTCCCATTGCCCACTATTGGGTAGTGAGTTGGCTAGACTTTAGGCATGCCCACTGAAGAGTCACTGTCCAGATTTGTAAAATGGAGATAACTTTACATACATAATAGGGTCATTCTGAGACTCAGAAGAAACTCTGCCTATAGAATGCATAACACCATAACTGGAAAGTAGAAAGTGGTCAATGGGTAATCGTCATTAGTACGATGATCATTATCACTTGAGTATAAATGGGTTATGTAGTGGCCTGACATCATCTAAGGCAAGAACTTCCTGTATTCAAGGGTAGGCTAGGATCAGAGGGGCCTGAAGGATGGGGGTAAGAAGGTGATCATTCCTCTCTTGCTCTTTGTCCTTCACTGTCAGCTCATTCACTGGGCTGTCTAGGCCCAGGAGGGAAGGGAAATGCTCTAAGGGGCAGTGGTAGATGATGTCCGCTGTCGGAAGAGGTAGGCCACTCTGGGGGGGCGGGGGAAGAAGCTTTTTCTTTTCAATCCTGTTTATTTAAAACAGTATTTTGATTAATTCTTTGGGAGTTACAAATACATATTCACCATCCGTCTTCTCCCAGATCCACCTCTATCTCCCTACTCGCTCAATTTTCCTGCCCTTGGTGTCTTTACTTTTTAAACCCACTGAGTTCAATTTACGCTGCCCAAGTCCACTTGGGCGTAGGGCCATCTGCGGCAGCATGGTTGACTGACCAGAGGTTCCATCCTTAATGGAAACTGCCTCTCCCTTTCCTAGAAGCTATTACCAATGGTGCCTCAGTCAGGGGTGGGACTTCATGTCCACCTCTGAGGGAGAATCTTGATGGGTAACAGAAAAGACAGACAGGCAGGTTCATTCAGCTAACGGAGACACAATTGTGTCCACACACACACGCAGCACATGTGCCTCAGACCATGTCTTCTCCTTTCTGGACTGTTCATCTGAAGACCTTGATAGGATGTCACTATTATGTGTCCCAGAAAGGACCGATCAGTTTTCCCACCTGCCATTTAGGAGGGGGCTTTGGGGTCTCATTCCTGTCCTCTCTTCCCTACGTGCCTCACATTGTAAGGGAAACAGAAACAGGTGAAGATTCGACTGCCCTAACTTGAGAAAGAGAAAATGTAAGAGAGGAAAGCCCCGCCTGATGCTCGGGCTGAAGGCTGGCTGGCTGCCGGATCTCTCTTGGGGTACACCAAGAAAAAATGGCATAGGGAGGTATGACAATGATAGAATGGGTAGAAACTGAGAAATCAGGTAAGCGAACGAGTCAGACTTCGGGAAGAGTGGTGGTGGTGGTGGTGGGGGGGGGCTAGGAAACCTCCTCTTCTGCTGACCTTTGCATCTATGAAATAGGCTGAATCCAGACTTCTCGACACTCCTCTGTTGAGGGGGAAAACTGTCTTAGCTTGGGCTGCATAACAAAACACCAGTGGCTGGGCCCACTAACAACAGATTTTATTGATTCCATCTGGAGGCTTCAAGGGAGGCCTGGTTCTGTGTTCTTGCTTCCTCTTTATACAAGGCCACAGTCTTTTTGTATACGGCCTGTATTCTTGACATAAACTAGTCCCTGATGCTGTCACCTCTAGATGCAGTCATACCAGGGGCTGGCTATGTTTCCTTCATACCAGTCTGGGTAGGGATGAGGGAACTTGGATCAATCTGCAGCAGTGGTCCACTCACTCCAGTGTGACCCAACAACTCTCCTGGTACTGATTACATAGTCTAAGAAGTTCACAGATCCAAGGGAATTGGGGAATTAGGAATAATGAGGAACTGGGGGTATAGGGGAACAGCTGTCAGTGGACATCAGGCACCATCTAACAGTACTGAGCAGACAAATATTTGAATGAATGGGAAGATGGCAAGGCCTCTTTAACAGAATAGCACTGATACTTTTTGACACATGCAACAACATGGATACATCTCAAAAATCATTATGCCGATTGAAGCAAGCCAAAAGGAGCACATACCATACAAGGACATTTAGCTAATGTAATTGTGATGGAAAACAGTCAGTGGTCACCCATAAACCAAGGGAGAAGAATGAAGGCATTACAACTTTTGAGGGTGACGATGATGCTCATCTTAAGTCTGGTGAGGACATCACATGCGTGGACACCCTCCGATTTCATCAACATTTGTACTTTAAATATGTACAGTTATGTGTTAGTTGTACCTAAAGTTGCTTAAAATTAGGTGCTGTATATAACTTACATAAAATTCATCATTCACTCTCCTTCCCATCTCACACATTATCCTACAACTTACACAGCCATCTCTGCATTGATATTAGGAGTTCTCTCCGCTTTAATGAAAAGCTATGCCATAAATATGCTATAAAAATACCTCATCCTAATGTCTCCAGGTTGGAGTTCCTGGAGTGGAAGTTTTGAGTGTAGAGTATGTACACGTGCAGTCGAAGTCGGCTACACTATTTTCCAAGGAAGAGTCTCCACTGCTGTGGATCCTGAGTGATTCTGGGTATTGGCA